ACGTATTATTGTGGGTGGCCTTTTACTAGTAAGCACTAAGTAACAGTAATCAGCTACCTAGCCGTATTCTTGCTGCTTTGTGCGTGATCTTTTGTTAAATAATTTGCGTGGCCTTTTGTTTCAGCAAGGTGCCATGGCCCTCAAACAACATTATATATTTTCAATTTACGTGGCCCTTTGTTTTAGTAAGGTTACGTGGCCACAAAACAACATTATATATTTTTATTTGGCGTGGTCATTTGTTTCAGTAAGATTGCGTAGCCGTAAACCAACATTATATGTTTTTAATTTGCGTGGCCATTTATTTCAGTAAAATAGCGTGGTCAAAAACAAAATAAAATATTTTTAATTTGCGTAGACATTTGTTTCAGTAAGGTTGCGTAGCCATAAAACAAAATTATATGTTATTGGCGTGGTCATTTGTGTCAGTAACATTGCGTACCCATAAGTCAACATTATATGTTTTTAATTTGCGTGGCCATTAGTTTCAGTAACATGGCGTAGCCATAAGTCAACATTATATGTTTTTAATTTACGTGGCCATTTGTTTCAGTAAGATTGTGTGGCCATTAATGAACAGTATATTTTTTAATTTGCATGGTCATTTATTTCAGTAATATTGTGTGGTCATAAAAACAACGTTATATAGTTTTAATTTGCGTAGCCATTAAATTAGAGAGCGTGGCCATAATCAATCTAAACTCCACCGCGTTCGCGGAGTAGCAAAATTAATTTACTTTATTTTTATTCATTTGGATTTTCTGAAAGCAATGCCTGAATCTGTAAATAATTGTATTTAGAAGTTATTTGCTGTATTTGTCCTTCAATATAAAGTTATTTAAAAGAAGATAATAAAATAATATATACTTGTTAAACCATGATTTTGCATGTTGTATCAAAATGATGCATTTTTTTATATTAGTTTACTATGCCTCGCAATTTAATGCGCCTCAAAATTTAACGCGCCTCGCAATTTAATGCACCTCGCCATTCAATGCGCGTCACAATTTAATGCGCCTCGCAAATTAATGCGCCTCGCAACTTTATGCGCCTTGCAATGTAATGCACTATAACTGCAAAATAACTTTGTTATTTCTGTAATGGCCAAATATAAGTACACGGCATTTATCGTGATAGATTATGACGTACATTAAAAATTGTTTCGATACCTAACATGTACCCTGGTGCATATAGCAACCAAATAAACAGTATTATTATCATCAATTGTCCACGACAAAAGATATTCACATTACATTAGTAATGCATTCTTATTATGAAATAATTATTGAATGAATTAATAATTAATTATAGTTACCCTTTATTATAATGTCAATTGAACGATCAAGCACTAGGCCAGCTTGCGTGAAGTTATAGGTAAGTAGTAAGTGTAAGTTACTTGTGGTAAACGTATTTATTTAGACTACTCCGGTTATTCTACTTTGAGCCACTTGAGTGTTGTTTATTGTTATTATATTACAAAATTGCACTTGACCACCTTACCACTTAAATAATACCTGTAAATATTCCTTGGGATACATAAGAGCAATATTTTCCGTTCGGATTATTAAATCCAACACCATACACACAACTTTTTTTTTTCAGTGTGAAATATCCACTAATCACTTTATTTATTGACGCAAGGTGTAAATGAAATTAAATATATGTCAATAATTGACACTTTAGCGATTATTGCTATCTAGGTACTTGTATAGTAGTTACCAGTTCTTATTTGGGTATATTATTACATATCAATTCGCAACAATATGAAATGATTATGTGAATTAAAATACTTGAAGGTATCACCATGTGAGCCATACGATTTGATCAACCAGTTTGACCACGATTGATTTTTCTACGAGCTATGTGTTTAGAAACCCTTGTGCTACTTTGAATTCGTCACATAGTTCACCGATATGCTCTTTTTGAATCAATTTCTCGATTTCTTTTTGCATCAAGTGCTGTATTGCTTTACTATGGACAGAAGGAGATTCACTTAAAGTGGAAACAAAACGTAATACCTGCATATCGCTGCTTTTCAAGAATAGCGGTTCAACTTGAAATTGATCTTTTAATTTTTTCTGACATTTATTCAGAAAAGGCAAAATTTTGATGTGAATTAGACTCCAAAGTTTTCGTTGGGTATAATAAGAGATTAATTACAGAATTGGGCTGGTATTCGTTAACTTTGCGTAGCACACACTACGTGACCTCACATATTACTAGTTTTTGAGATAGGCCGCCATAGTACATAGTTATCGATATATCGATACATTGTCAATTTTCATAAACAAGCATAGCTCCTGTCTAAGTGGAACTGTAGGAGTTTGCGCGCCTTCGCATTTTATGGTCATGTTGATCGCATAACTGATATAACCTATAATTTTCAGTTTTGAGTGCGTACACTGACGTAACTCCAATTTGCGAACAGCTCATGGATCTTATAAAACTTTACAATTTTCACTGTATGGGGCACTGAAGGTGTTTTCACTCCTTCATATTTGTTGTTCTATTAGGAAATTTAAAATATATACACATACATATATATACTTATGATAGACTCAGAGTTCAGTAGAATAATGCATTTCATGCTATGCTGCGGCTTCCCTGGCGATGGCGGTGTAGTGCGTCTGGCATATTTGCCGTAATAGAGTAGATGATTTCTTCGCCATAAAACGAAAGAGACATTAGTCTTTTTTTACGGGAGCGAGCGATTCGGCCAATATAATCGTAAGGACAGTATGCGATACGTGCTACTTTGTAAGAGAACACTCAATTTTTAAAATATAAATAAATTAATTGTAATGTAAATTAAATTAAATTTAGTTCTTAATTATATACTTCTTTAATAATAATAATTTTCGGTTAATAACATTGACTTAAGTTAATGGTTAATAAAATTCAATTTAATTCTTATGTAATGTAATAAGTAATGTTATATTTATTAATGGCTGTATACCTAAATAAAGATACATTTTATTTTATTTTATTTATTATTTATATATGAAAGTTTCACTTTAAGTAATATCGTAGAAAAAAAATTTAGTGTGGTTACACCACTTTTGCGTTGATAGCCTCAAAAGTGGAACAAAGAGTTGCAGTTGTCTTATATCTAAATATTGAACAAGGCCTGTATAATTCCACAGCTGAATATATTACTACTCACCCTAATAAAAACACTTTACCAAAACTGAAAATTAACAGCTACCAAAATTAATCGATCAAGAAGCGCAGGGAAGGTTTTGGTCGCTACTTTTTTATTTTTATGGGTTATTATCAATTTCTTTACGAAATCAATGTAGTATTATTGCCGAATGGTATTCTATAATTTGTTTGACAGAAGTATTCACTGCTGTGAGTAACAAGCGACTGAACACGGAGCTCCGCGAATTACTGCTTCACAACGACAACGCGCTCGCGCACTCGGGGTTCAAAACGACGAACTTCCTGTTTGTGTTTGACAGTTAGACTTTTGATCGCCCTCCTTACAGCCCTGATTTGGCACCGTGTGACTTTTTTCTATTTCCCAAAGAACAAAAATAATATGAACGGGACTTATATGGATGATTTTTATGCCATTATACGTAAAAAGTCAGCCTCGCTGCTTTACAGGTTGCGTGCCAGCTCCAATCCAGTAGCAGAAACTATCGTCAGTAGATAAAATTCAAACACAATTATTTTTTCGCCTCACTAGCTCGGAAAGGCTTCTCATTAGAAATCTGCGCGCAAAAGCGTGTTTTTCACGATAGCGTGGAAAAGATTTTTGAAGTTCGAACTTCACGATGGACTATGGTGCACCCAATTTTTTGTTTCGATGAAAAAAAAAAACATAATGACATGTTTAACTACGTGATATGTCGTACATTTTTTATGTAATATAAATCTGTTGGTATATTGCATTGTTATTTTTAGTTGACATTAAATTGACAACGATAACTAATTTTGTTTATTAAAACTGATTTGTTATGGTTCAACTGTTTTTCTTTCATCTACCATTTTCCTCGCTGTAGTGAGGTGAATAGTTGTGTGTTTCACTCGAAATAAATGTAGTTTTGCGCCTCGTGACTTGAAACTCTCACTATGCTCAGGATACAAGCTTTCGCGTCAAACTTAAAACAATTTTGTGGCCTTGCTTGACAAATATTATTTCAGTTGTATTTTTAATTTATTTTTATTAGTATTACTAACATAGTCTTGTAGTAAGGTGTAGTACGGGCAACAGAAGATACCAAACTTTCTTCCGTATCGTAATAATATCGTCCGCACACAAGCAATATTATTGTGTGTATGTGCGGCTCAAATTCAAATTCAAAATAATCTTTATTTCATAGGTAAGCATTATTACACTTGAAATCGTTACAATGGTTAAACTCTACCGCTCATTCGTAAGGCAGTTCCCCTGAGAAGAATGAGCAAGAAACTCTAGGGGTTGGATGGCCAGCGAATTAGCGCCCGAAGTGCGTTTCGTTCCTGCAATTACAATTTTGAATTACTTTCAACTTTGTACGATTTTTCATGTATCGGATAAAATATATCGATACCGAATGATACGATAATATCGGATTGATTAGATATATCGAGGGCATATATCGATATTTTTTTTAATATCGATATATATCGAGCGCTCCTAGCACACGCACCATAATATTGCTTGTGCGCTGGCGATATTGTTGTGTTGGGATTCAGTCATTGACCAAAACATTTGATTATTGTGTCAAAACTGGTGGTTTTAGTGCGTGACGGAACTAATTTGTATTGTTGCACGTTATTGATTTTGTTAGAGTCTTTTAAAAATCAGCATTGTTTACTAACAAAACTGTAGGGCTAGCACGACAAGGCGCGACTTGCGCGAGAGCGACATAAAGCGCGGGATCCCTATCCGAGAATAGCAGTATCTCGCGCTTCATGTCGCTGTCGCGCAAGTCGCGCCCTGTTGTGCAAGCCCTACTGGACTATTTGTTGTCAGAAAAATAAAAATTTTATTATTATAATTTTTTTTTCAGAAATCCTACACCTGTATGTGGTGCTCGAATATCTTATAATCAATACGTAACATTTAAGAGCATGTGTGAATTTTTACAAGAAAGATGCGATTATGAATATTGGAAACTAACCAAGCACCCATGGCAGTTGTGGAGATTTTGGTGGTGGGGTTTAAGTAAGTAGTGTATAGTCATCATGATCAATTTAAGTAATGTTTTTTGTGGCCGCATGTTAGTTAAGTTTTTAAATGATAAATAATAGTTTATGTACTATAATTTGCCATTGTATTTTTTTGAGAGCTCTATGACGTAGAGAATCAGAGTAAATTCCAAAAATATTTCTTTCTATTCCTGTACTGTCAATTTTAATTTCATAAACCGTATCCTAAATGCGCTGATTTTCTTTCTGAATTTTAATTCTTTTTCGGTTCGAAATTCTATTCTCTATGATATTAGCCACTGGGCTGAAACATTTCAATAAGTTCTATACACAGAACTATAATGAGTTTTACAAAAAGAACGTCGTATTTTTGCTAATTAAAATTTCAATATTATAATTAATAATAATAATATACTTGCTTGGCTTGGTTACACCTATAGAATTGTATCTTCCATCATCACCATCAGTTTTCACGCATCCACTGCTGCACATCAGTTCCACCTGAGAATGCTCCCGGTTCTGGGGGTCGACGCGAATTTCAGCAAACATGGCAGACGCACTGTAGACCCGTGGCAGCCGCAACAGCGTCCTGAAGGCGTTATTATATTGCGTGCGCAGGGCCCTGAGCGAGCTTTGGGTATAGTTGGCCCACAGGGCACCCACGCCTATAGTGGTGTGCAATAGGTTTGGAAAAGAGTGGACTCTATGAGCTTACCGACCCTTCTGTTTTCCAGCTTGGCAATTTTTACATGAAGGACCGTGTACAAATGATTACGAAAACAATTGGAACATCAGTGGAGTCAATGTTGGTTGGAGACTTCCAGGCCACCTGCAGCATTTAGGGAATCGATTCTTGCCTCAAAACTTCAATTTCACTCCAATACCTTTAGGTCAAACGGCGAATTTTTTCAGGTTTCCCTTTTAGTGAGCATCATTTACTTTAAATTACAGCTACTTTAAATTACTTTTTTTTAAATGAGAAAGAGTTGGGTAATTCTGCAAACGGAATAAAATAGGGCACATCTAACATTTTTATCAAAATTGAGAACATACTCCGGATCAGGAAATAAATGCCAATGTAACTAAATTTGTATGGAAATATATCTCAATAATTGTTCAGTACTTCAACGAGCATAACTGACTTCAATAATCAGAGTTTTTTACGACGTTTATTATGTTAAAAACACTAATATTAGGGAAGATATTGTAATACTGTACTAATATCAAAGGATTTTACTTAAAATAAAAAAAAAATGTATTTATTTCTCCACAAAACATTAAAGAACACAATACTTAAAAAACGAATGAAAAAAATATCAGTGATGTGGACTCAGCAGTGCTGATTTTCAGTGTTCACCTGTAGCTAGCTGTTCGCTTGCTGAATCAAGCTAAAATGCGGAGTGTACACCAAGTAATAAACAGCAACACTTAGTAGTATAACGAACTCTATTCTTATTATGTAGTTCAATTAGTATGTAATAACACATAAAAGGAATCACTGAATGTCCTTAAGTTCATTTCACGAGTGTATTAAAAGTAACATTTAATTTAGTTATGCCCTTTATATGATAATATTTTTACTGAGTTAAAAGAATAACTTAAGGTATTTTTAATGGCGGCTGATTAAAATACAATGAAATTTTTTTTATAAAACAAATTGAACGAAATCATTCGTCGGGCGCTCTAGGTTCCAGCACGCAAATATTCCATGCGTGCTGGAACCTTCAGGCCTCAGTCGATCAGATGGGAAAAGGAATAATGAATAAGAAGGAATGACTCTGGTGCCGTGGGAGAGGGGTCGGTGTCTCCTGTGGGATGCGACATATGTTAGCACAATTATAGCTTCGCATCTTAGTGGCATAGTAATTTCAGCTGGTGCAGCTGCAGAGTCCGCTGCTCGCAAGAAACGAGACGAATATCGTGATTTGGAAAGTCGCTACATTTGCTTTCCTCTTGCTATTGAGACGGCGGGTTGTTGGGGAGTGTAGATAACTCCCGCGCCGGGTTGTTCTTGGCGCAAAGATTGTCCATTGCCATACAGCGAGAAAATGCGGCTAGCGTGATGGGCACCTTTGCGCCGGGATCAATCAGGGGCGGGCTTTTTGACGAGTGTGAGCACAGAGCCACGTAATTTGTAATTTCTTGACTTGTTGAAATTATTTGTTATTCATGACTATAGTATGTATAGTATGTATAACGTATTTAAACACAGTTATTTAAGAATTTCGACATACTTACGTTTCGGGCCCTTCAGAGACCCCTTACACCACACGACACGACGCACAGTGGTGCACTTTGTATGGCACCGCGAAAATAGACTTTATGTGACTGTTATATAATGAAAGGTATTAAAATACGAGCCGGTAGGCGAGTTTCATAAAAACATCATACGAGTGTTTTTATGCCTAATTATGTACAGTTACATTGCTTTATCTATACACATATTATAAGCTCTCTATGATGTTCAGGAGCCGCATGTTACGAATGGCGGAAAATAAAAAACTTCACGCTACCGTAGTTTTTTTTAACTCATAGACAAACTTGTTTCGGACCCAACTATCATATCGTTCGATATCAAGTAACTTGTGAAATTTGTCAAAATTGTTTGCTATTGACATTTCCTTTCGAATAAAACTTCATCTCAACCTTAGAGTGTGGAAAAAATAAATCTCAACGGATATTAGAATTGAGGTCGAATCAAATTATTTTGTTTTTCAGAGATGTTCGAAATTTAAATGTAATAATAAAATCGAATTTGACGTTAGAAGCAATAATAACATTTTCACAGATAAGAAATTTGTTCTAACAAAACAGTTTATATTTTTATGTTGGCCGTAATTTGCTGTTTTTGAACACATAGAGAGTTTATGATATATGTGTAGATAAATATTATATTTTTATAGGCAAAACAATACTGTTGGCTTCTTAAACATATATGAAATAAATATTTTTTTGATAATAATGTCGACGGCGGTAAAAAGAAATAGCTTTAATTTTATTGGTCTTAAATTAAGCATTCTTTAAAACATAAATGTGAAATTTATTAAAAAGATTAATTTTATTTCGTGTAACAATCGCGAAAACCTAGAAACCCGATATATGTATATTTGTAAGCTATGTCAGTACAATAAAAGAAATACGATATAAAGATGTTTTTATTTAACGATTTCCCACAATTTATAAGACCTTATGTGTACGAGGTGTAACAAAACGATCCTACCAAACTTCAGCTGGTGGCCACACTTGTTTATGGTAACAAATAACTTCTATAAAAAGTTCTACCGGAATGAAAGTTTAAAAAACACCATAAAATTTACCAACGACATGTTTTTCCAGCTCCTATGAAAAAAATTATAAACATTCTGAGAAAAATTTAAGGCATTTGCGCAATAAATAGATAAAAAACCTCCTAAGACCCAGTAAATTCAAATGGGAGAAGCGCTAACCGCCCAATCTGCATTAAAATGTAAGTATTGACTTCTCTGACACATAATTAATTCATCACTTTTGAACGCTAGTACATAGATATCGTTGGTTTTGTATGAAAAATGTAATCGGTGTATAGAATATATAGCGCTGAATTTGAAAGCGATATTTTCATTATAATATACTAAACATTTCAAATATCTTGATAGTGTTATCACAGAAGACTCCAAATGTATCACTGACGTAAAGACTAGAATCGCAATAGCAAAACAGGCTTTCCATAATAAAAAACACTTTCACTTCATTAAAACCTATGTATGGAGTACCGCACTGTATGGATGCGAGACATGGACAATAACAAACAAAGACAGAGAGAGATTGGAGTCATTTGAAATGTGGTGCTGGAGGCGAATGGAAAAAATAAAATGGATTGAAAAGAGAAAATGAGGAAGTTTTGGAAAGGGTTGGGGAGGGGAGAAGTCTTTTGAAAGCAATAGAGAGGAGAAGGGGTTTCAGGTTTGGACATTTGTAGTGTAATCACGAATTTGTGAGAGTGATAATTGACGGGAGATCCAGAAGGGAAAAGAAAGAGAGGAAGACCGAGAATGGCGTATAGTGCGTATAGTATAACAAATTAAAATATATAGCGTATAGTATAACAAATTAAAAAAAAGAACAAAGTGAACAGCTATAGAGAGGTCGAAGAACGGGCTATGAACCGTGAGGAGTGGAGGAGGCTACACCGACAAGAGTCTGGCTCTTAAATAAGATGATGTAGTACAATGGGCGTTTATGTAATTATCGTAATAAAATTGTCTGAATCTGAATGACTTTACATATTAAATAATTTTTTATGTAAACGGCGCCTTAGGAGGTTATAATATGGTCGACAGTTACCACAAAAAAACCTAAATACTAAAATTCTCCTCCAGTCTGCGTAAATGATCAACATTTGATTCTTGAATATTGTTTTGGCTGATTATATTGTTTTTATAAACTTCCATATTTCTTTGTGTGACGGCCATGTTGTTGTAAACTTCTCGAGGAACAATACGTGCTTGCGAGGGAATTTTGACATTTGCCGCCATATGTATGTTGCGTTCGAAAGCACTTCTGTCATTACAGGCTGTGAAAAATGGCGGTAAATCTGGTTTCACATTTGGTCGTAATAAGTTTCTTTCAACACTTTGACCGTTGCTGGTGATGTTGTTAACGTTCTTCAGCCACGTGAGCTGTTGCGAAGGCGGGACACGTTGTGGGTAATTGAAGATCCACAGTCTGTCGCCAACGAACATTGGCCTCGGCGAGACCACGCCCAGACTGCTGTAGTATTGTTGGGCAAGCAATTCTATGTCGTTTGTGTACTTACGTTTCCACTTTGTGCGTCGATTTTGAAACCATATCTTAATCTGCAATGTACATAATTGAAATTAAAAAAAAGACACAATTACATTTTCAAGAAGAGTGGTTTAATTTCAAATTGACCCTTTTCTGCTTAGAATAATAACGCATAGAAACCTAGTCCGCACACGCTAAGTGAGGCAAATTGAAGCGCTCCCAATGGGCCCACACGAGCGGGCGGGCCTTCAGTGCTCAAGCTCAACTTGCACCGCGAACAGATCACGAATTTTAGCTAAAAATGACGAAATGTGCGGTAAATGAGTGTAAAAATACGTCAGACAAACATAAAATAGATACTAACATCACATTCCACAAGGAAGTAACGCGTTTCAACTTGTATTTTTATATAAATATTCACTAAAACCGAAAATTAACCTACTACTAAAACTAGCCTACATGAATTTGATTTTTGCCTCACTTATGACAGTTCTTTTGATATGAAACTATCATTCTATGCGTTATTATTCTAAGCTTTTCTGACTGAGATTTATTCAGAAATACAAAATTTTATTGTGATGGGAATTTCAAAATTTTCATTGGTTAGACTAATAATATGACAACATTGGGACGGTTACGATTCGTCAACATTGAGCGTCTGACGCTTCTCAGATTTTTTAAGGTACTTCCTTGATGAATTAGATACTTTTGAGATGGGATTTAAAACTTGTTATCGTTATGTGGTAAATCGCACCTTTGGAATAAAAGTCACCGAACACAAAATTCCAAATTTTTGGGAATACGCAAAATAAGATTTGAAGCGGTGATATTTTCACATCATTTAATTAATTACTCTTGAGGTACTAAAGGTAAATGGTCTTGTTAGCCTTGAAACAATCAGTTTTATAACCTCAGTTTGTTTCTAACTATTTTAATATTTAAGTATTAATAAATATAATTTATCAAAAGTAGTCGCTATGTCAGCTTTTTTATTAAGACCCAACAACATTGACTTACAAATAAATGGACGACGGGTCTAATACAAAATCCACGAAAAAAATGTCCCAGTCAACCTATTTAAACGTAGTGACATGTAAAGGAATATGAAAAA